TTTGATTGGGGCTCGTAAAACTTTCGTTGTACTTGACGACCACGATATTCTGCAAAAACGAAAAATATCACATTTTGTTCAGCTCACTTTTCTCTACGAGACTAGATGTAAACGATTCCTTAGTTTCCTTTTGTTCGGACACTAATAGACTCACAAAAACAACAAAACTCGTGACGGAATAACGAAAAGGCGATCATTACGTGGACAGGCCGAGTTATAGACTAGTTTATTATTAAATTCACCTTGATTAATTGGAACCTTTAACGCTAACAATTTATTCTTATGACTCGCATCAATAATCTCCTTTTCTTTATGGATAACCATATTGATACATAATTCAATCTCAATCCAAGTTAAATGATCCACCAGACTTTTAATTCCTGCTTCACTATCTAATAAATCAACATTTAATTTTCTCAATCTTTTCTGTTGTTCTCTATAGAGATCATATAACATAGATCTTCCTAATGCATGATATTTCGATGTTCATGCATATTCTTTCTTGTAAGGTTTAAATTCAATAAATTTAGGTAAAACATTAAACAAATCGACATTAAACATTTAGGTAAAACAAGCCTACATTGCTTGAGTTTAACCCGTTCGAATTGTCGTAAACATTTCATTGCATCATAACCGTATTTCTCACGTACGGTAATAATAATCGATTTTCTTTTGTTAATACGGTGAAAACATTTAAATATAAAGAGGAGAACAATTGACGGTTAGTTCCCGTTTCGTCGAAAACTCACTCTCATACCGTCGCGGCCGCCTTTGAAATTTTTTGAAGTATATACTTTTATACTTACTACTTTTCGACGAAACGGGAATTCTCCCAATTGACACCGTTTTAATCATTTTATTGAGACGTTTCAAATTATTATATACTCAAGCACATGAAAAGGAAAGAGAACAGAGGCAAATGAAAAGAAGCTAGGTGAAAGAAAACATCTTCTCTTAATAGACTTATAACTTATATTAAAAGAAGACGCTCTCTTCTAATAAAATTATAAAGAAAAAGATGTAACTTATTTATAATTAGAAGACATTAAGTATGAAGCTCTTTTGAGAATACACTTGCTTGCCATTTTTCCAGCCATATGAGTCGATGAGTAAACTTTCTTTAATATGTCTTTTTAATTCATTTGATTCAACCGCTAAGATATCAGCATCCGAATTATTCTTATGGTTTTTGTTTAAGCAATGTTCAGCAATTCTGGAATAACCAATACCTTTGAGAGCTTTTTTATGTTCTTCTTTTCTAATGTCCGCTACTCTCGCAGTCTGACCGATGTAATAACCATTTCAATCATAGCATGAATAACCATACACAAATATTTAATTATAAGTCCAATTCTGTTAACTCTTTTAGCATTATCAAGAGTCATATTTTCTCTTATATACGCATGCATTTCGGCTGAAAAGCAGTGGCAAATCCATCTGTTGTTATCCAGTTTTTTTGCCGCTTTTCTAGCGCAAATGGCAACATTTCTCATATTCGTATTACTATCTAAACTATACAAAGATGAACTACTGAAAGTGTTAAAACGAAAATAATCATCAAGTACTCTTTTCCTTCTAGATTATTCTTTGTTACTACTGAGACGTGTTTTGATTTCTGTTTAACTAATCGTGGTGCCAGTCAAGTATCGACGTTTAATATCAATTCTTATTATTTTTTTGTATTAACTGATGAATGATCAAATGTAAAAGCTCAAATTGACCACGCTCGTATCGAAGTGAGTTTTACAATTGTATTGTTGGACCAAAATATGTTGAGAAATGTTATAGCTCGAACACGTTTTTTCGGATTCAGATAATTTACAACTCTCTTTTTCTTCGTTCTAAGGTAGTCTTCACGGCTTTTAAAGAGATATGGAGTGAATTCAGAGTGGTCAAAACATTGAGTTTATACCTAACCTAGAGAGGCTAGAATGACTAGAAAAGCTATTCAAACATAAATTGGAAAAAACACATTGACTGCATAAGTGCAAGATGTAACAAAATTTTACAATTTTACGATTTTTTTGGCTTGTGACCCCTAGCTTTTGACACAAAATACCTCGGTAGATCGAGGAAGTACGAGTTTCCGGTTCCGAATTGTGCTTGTCGCCAGCTCTGCCCAGTTTTTCAAGTGTAGGGCTTGTTTATACTTATTTATAGCAAATCAATAGACAACATTATTGGTTTAAATACAATATAATAATTTTGTCGATATTTTAAAATGATGTTTGTTTCCAATTGTTTTACCACATCTAAAGTAAATATTTCTGTTTGTTCTTCTGTTGTTGAAGACGGCACCAGAAACATATTTAATTGTTTTAAATATCTCATGTTCTTAATAAATAACTCAAGGAGTCGGAAACAGTCATTCAATGTTCTGACTTTTATACTTTCTAATGTTTGGCATTCGGAAAATATCTGACAGAACTCTTCGGATAATAAACTCACCGTCATAGAACTACAGAAGAAATCTAAATGTCGAATCATTCGGTTAAGATTACGAAATAATACGATTAGATTTTCCGGTATGTATTTATCATTATTAATCGTTGATGTTGTCATTTGTGAATATAATAAAGCGAATGGTATAGATAACGTATGTATATGTCTACCATATATCAACAATGTGGACAATAATTGTGGATCAATTAGTTCCGGTTGTATTCTGCTGAGAGTCAAGAAACGAATTCTTAACAAATGAATTTTATTACTGTTAGTAAATATGTGCTGTAAATAATCCAACGCAGATCGATTTAATACAAATGCTGACCAAATGTGTATACATAACCGAGTTGTATTTTTATATGTCCAAAACGGAATCGGCGTTTGAGACTCTGAGGAAGAAGCATAGACGTTTAATAGAATAGTATCGACCGAATCATACATTTGTGTCGGGGGAAAAGTGGTTATTGGATGATTTAATTTGTTTGTGCTTAATGATAAATGCAACTCATTGCTCTCGTATGGCACTGTATAAATAAACAATTGTTCCAAATCATAATCATAACGATAAGCAAAATAGATATGTCGGTCTAACCAAAACTGTCCACGTTGAAATATGGCCAATTCGTACTTTTCAGTGTGAACAATATCGGTATCAGTAACTTTAATATCTAGGCAATAAATGAAAATAGAATTATGTACGCATGTACCTACTTAATATTCCTGACAAAGTGCTATTGACGAAAAGTTTAGATTCGGAAGGGTCTACGATGGCATCGGAGAACTTGTAAAGTGCAATTATCGAAGAAAATCACATAGTTAGTGATCGTTGCGATAACAGATTGGGCTCAAATTTATGAATAGGCCTGCTGTCTTTCCTGAAAGTGTTCACAAGGAGCTATTGTTACTTCCACACGCTGCAGGTTCCCACAGAATATAAGTTATATCAATTATTTAGATCGAAACTTTCTTTCAAAACAAGCGTAAAGTATCTTGTTATATCAAAATATAACGAATCAGGAGTATGCTGCCAGAGACTGCAGCGTGCGAAAGTTACAATATCTCCTCTTCAGAGCAGCAATACTAGTCCGCAAATTTATACTATGAAGTTTATAGTTACAAGGAAAAATTTTCGGTTCCATTGTTGAGAAGTAATATATCACAGGAGACGGCATCAGACAGCAAAAAAAGGGAAAAATAACTAATAAAAACTGATTTGCTCGTGTATTTCTAGTCTGACCTGTAGTTTGAGAGTGGCACTAAGTATGTTCTCGTCCTCGTTTGGTTTTCTTAGATTTTTACAACATTCCTTCACAAAGTACAATTTGTATAAAAAATATTCCATTTGATGAAAATTTTGCTTATTTGAAGAAAAAGAAAAGTAATGAAATAGTCCTATTTTGTATGTGAACATCATATCTTGTAATAGAAATATGAAAAACCTCTAGAAGACGTCTCATGTTGAACAGGAAGACTCTTATGCTGTCAGCAAATATTACCTTCCCATTTTTTTAGTTTCTGGAGAAGCTTTCCAAGAAAAGCATCAGATTTATTCGCCGCCCTGTTAGAATCGGCCCTTATCGTTTCTGATGTTTTCTGTGCCTAAGAAAGATTATTTCAGTCGAACAAAACATTATATCCATTACTAATGAAAACGAAGTATCTTGGGAAAAGTAAAAAAGCGTTTAGCTGGAATGCTTTTGTGCACCCTGCGGAATCGTAACTATATGTTGCTGGTCGACACAATACCTCAGTGTTTTATTCGAATGTCCAGTAAAGCCGCTTAAAAATTACAAAATTTCAAATTCTAAGGTTTGTTATTCTGTAGCTTTCAGAATTGGAATTCTATCCTGAAACCTTGACAAAAGAAATTGTTAAAGTGGTTTTAAAATTTCTGATTTTTCATTTCTGTTAGTCCTAAATTCCTCTCACAGGAGATTAGAGCTGCCCCGAGTTCGTTTCTCCTGAATTTACCACTGTATTCCTGTTTTGGAGCTGGAAAATGAGGATATTTAGAATAACTTGAATGACTGACTTACCCCTGAGTTGTGCTGATTACGAAAGATTATATTTTAGTATTTTATTAAAATGGAGTGAAGAAGAAGATTACAAACACAGACCAGCACAACGTAAATTGATGTTAACTATACGACACTTCTGTATCAACTGAATAGAAAATAAATATATATTCTTATATAGTTATCTGGTCTCTTTATAATGTGTTTAGTATAAGCATATAGACAAAGAAAAGAGTAAACTTTACGTCTGTTTAGCTCATTGATGTACAATAACAAATACATAAAAATGACTACATAGAAAAAGGAGAGAATATGTATATATAATGGAACGAAAACATAGTCTGTGTATATAAATGAACAAAGAAAGAGGTACATATGGAATAGGGCAGCATGTCTAGAGATAGCTAGGCATGACACCTCCCCCGTTTGAGAAAGATTGGAACACCAATCGTAAAAGGTAAAAACAAAAAAGACCTAAAATCATCATCCAGGTCATCCAAGTCGGTCTCAACTTGATCGAATTTGCCGTTGAGGACAATGTTACTGCTGATCAGGCAGTTCTAGAGGTTTAGGCAATTCTTGTGGATGTGGAGATGTTTGTGGTGGACCATTTAATTGACGATAGTGTTCAGCTGTAAACAGAAACGGAGGAATACGACGATTAAACCCTTCTCGGCTTTCCTCATTTTTTAAACCAATACATAAACGATTATCTTTAATGATAATTCTTCGATATTTCAAGTTTAAACTATGGCGAATGCGTCGAACTTGTGTTGGATGAAATTGCGGATCAATTGGTTTAACAAGTTCGTATTTAAAATCAGTTTTTCGATGACGCTTCGACGCTTTCTTGTTGGAATTCAGACGAGATTTCTCGCTACGACGTCGTGGTTTTCGTCTTAATCGTTTTGGTCGTGTTGGCACTTGCGTTTTTAGACAGTGTGACGGGAGAACAGAGACCAGAGGTTCATCTACATGAACTATCCGAGACATTTCCATTCCTGTTATTGAAATCGACTCACAAACTAATGCGGATATTCGTTGTTGAGGTTGTAGTTTCGCTTCTGGTGGATTTTCATAGTCCATCAATTGTTCAGGAGGACTTGGAGCTAAATTGATTGTTGAAACTTTACGACGATTATTTAGTTGTTTATATCGATCTCGTTCACGGATAATAGCCAAAACTGCCAATACGTCGTTGATTGCATATTGTTGTAAATCTCGGCGTATTTGGCGTTGATCATCTCTGATACGACGATCTGGAAATTCCCATGTGCCGAGTTCTCGATCAATACCGCCTCTCCAATCACTTCGTGTCAATTTCTTGTCCAGAAATTGGTTAAATTCGTATTTAATGCCTTTTTGGAGAGACCATGCTGTGACATTTTTCGGATCTTTGTATGGACGGAATGGACAGGTACATGCAACGTGGTCAGCATGTGGATCCAGATCAATGTCATCATCCGGGGCATTTAACGTAAATGTAGCAGCGTCATCTGTATCTTGATATCGCGACGGACAGCGTTGCTCATGTGGATGCTTCTCGTTGTAATATCTCCGATATTCTTTTTGAACATCAACTGGTTCGATTATATTGGATGTACTGAATAGATCATGATGGCGAAATTGTCTTAATTCTTTTCGGACGTCACCCCAGCCATATATCGTGTTTTTTGTGCAAAATACGGCGGCACATAATTGTTCCACTTTTTTACGATGCGACGATGTTGATGATGGAAGCCAAAGTGCTTCAAGAAGTATAACTGGCAGTGTTGCAGGTGGTTGAACGACGGGTTTAATCTGGATAAGAGCGGGTTCATGAGATTGATCATCTGTTTCGGTATCAACGATAATTGTGGTTGTTGATGATATTATGTTTATCAGATAATCCATTGTTGTTCGTGATGTAAGTTTAGTGATGTAATAAACATTATATTGTTGATCGATTGTGAACGGGGGCAATTTGGATCGCAATTCTTCATTTTCTGTCAATTTTTTTGTATAATATGATCTAATTCGACGGAGCATCTACAACATGGAAAGAAAGAGATGCTGAATTAGTAAGCTTGGAATAGATCATAATATCAATCCTAATTTGCTAACAAAATCATCATCATTAATTATGACGTTATTGGGGACCTTTCTCTTCAAGAAGCCAATTCAATCATTGTTCAAATCATTTTCTTGACTTGCAAATAGAGACAGAATAACCGAACTACGAATTGATCCCGATAATGGTATTTGGGGTTCCCAATTATTTTTGTCCAAAATTTTGTATTGTGTAAGTCGAACAAATAATAATAAATGATTGTGTTTCGAACGGAAATGCTGCTGGCTTGTTCTAATTAATGTTGCTTTGCCTCAAGTACAAGTCGTAGATCGTTGACATGGACCCGTGACTCTGCTTGAGTTTCAATATCTTTAACCCAATAAACAGGATGTTGACAATCAATAACTCTGCATGGAACTTTTGAGTATTTTTGGTCAAATTTGGATTTTGAACCGTAATATCTGGTTAACACTAACTGGCCAACTGAATAATGAGGATCTGGACGTTTAGCATCATAACGTTGCTTTGACCGTTCCTTTTGGCGAACCATATTTCGACGAGCATATTCATGATAAATTTTTAAATTTTTCTTCAATTGCTGATAATAATCATTGGGTTTGGCGAAAATCACTTGTTTTGGCGGTTCATCTGGCGGTAACTTTGGCTTCTGTCCATATTGCAATTGAAATGGAGAATAACCTGTAGTATTATGCTGTCCCGTATTATAGGCGAAGACCATCGAAGGTAGAAATGAATCCCAGTTATTGGATTCTGTATCTTGCAATTTGGCGAGTTGTGGGACGAAGGTGGCATTAAATCTTTCAATCATACCGTTTGTCTGTGGATGATATGTTGTTGAATAAATATGGTGGTGTCCGAGCAAAATAGCCATCGCGTCCATCAGCTGGTTCTTGAAATGATTACCCTGATCTGACAAAATCGTTGTAGGAACACCATATTTACATATGTATTCGTTATAAATCGTTTCAGCGGTTCTTTCAGCTTTACAGTCAGGGAGAGCCACTGCGATAACCCATCTTGTGAAGTGGTCCGTGATGCATAAAACGTATCGATTTTCGTTTGGCGTTCTTGAGAATGGACCGCAAAAATCAATACCAATAACTTGAAATGGCCCATGAGGTGGTGGAATTGGTTTGAGATGACCCGGTCGTTTTTTCCGATTATGATTGTGTTGTTGACATGGAAGACAGGCTTTAATGTAATCCTCTGTCGAATGGTACATATCGGGCCACCAATACTGAAACTTCATCTTGTAGTACGTACGTTTTGAAGAAAAATGACCCGCTGTGGGATGATCATGATATGCACGAAGAGCTGGCGCTATCATCGAAGATGGTAAATAGATTAATTTGGATTTTGTTGCTCCTCGATTTCTAGTTGCTAACTTATAGAGAATACCGTCTTGAAACACATAAGGATGTTTGATCGGATTAGCGCAAACTTCTTCAATTTTGTCTCGAATCTTTTGGTCCTTGCCTTGTTCTTCTTTCAGTCTGGTAATATCAAAATGAGGGACAAATTTCTGGAGTGCATCCTTGACGGTTGATGTTGACGGATATACTGGAATAGATCGCTGATTCGTGGATGTCTCTAGCTTTGATTTGGATCTTGTGGTTACACCGACCATCCCGAGTACAGGAGGACGATCTTGGCTGACTTCCAAACCATAAGCGAAATCCATTATTTCTTCTTTTTCAGGAATTGGATGTCGTGACATGAAATCTGGCAGACTATTGTAACGGCCTTTAATATGTATTACTTGTTCGATATTGTACTCCTGAAGAAGCAGAGCAATCCTTTCCACCCTTTTATTGTTGACTTTCTTTTCCATCATGTGACATAATGGGCAGTGATCTGTATATATAATAATGTTGCGCCCCAAGATATACGATCTCATTCTTTCAAAGCATTTCCAGATCGCAAGAGCTTCTTTCTCAATCGTTTTGTAATTTTTCTCCGCCTTGTTTATCAATTGTGAATGATAGTACAAATTATGGGTTTCGCCATTGATTTCTTGTTGAAGAACACCGCCAATTCCGTAATCTGAAGCATCTGTTGATAGGATTATCGGTCGACTATCATCAGGAAAATTTAATAACAGTGGAGCTGTTGTTAACATTTTTTTTAATTCATAGAATGCTGCTGATTGATCTTTCGTCCATCTGAACTTCTGACGATTCGCTTTGGTTAAATTTGTCACTGCGTGAATTGGTGCAGCCACTTCGGCAAATTTCTTGATGAACTTAAGATACCAAGCTATCGCACCAATGAATTTGTTTGCCTGTTTCAATGTTCTTGGTTCACTCAATTTGAGGATAGCATTAATTTTGTCGTTCAACGGTGTAATTGTTTTTTCGGTGATGGTATAACCAAGATAATCGATGTTTGAATGAGCAATTGAACATTTCGATGGGTTTAATTGTAAGTTATTTTCCTTTAAACATTCAAATACCTTTTTCATATGTACTAAATGTTGATCATATGATTTCGAAAATACCACAATATCATCCAAATACACCTGGCAAAATTGACGACATGATTCCAATGCTGTAGACATTACACGCTGGAATGTGGGAGGGGAGTTCTTCAATCCTTGTGGTAATACATTGAACTGAAACAACCCAAATGGGGTAACGAATGCCGTTTTGATCTTGTCTTCTTCTCTGATAGGGATTTGCCAAAATCCGCTCTTTAAATCCAGTTTCGTGAAGTATCGATATCCTTCGCCCAACCGTTGGATTGTTTGTTTCATATTGGGCAAGGGAAAATTATCCTTGATAGTGATATGGTTGAGCTTCTTGTAATCCATTTCAAAGACTTCTAGTAAACATTTTAAAGCTTGAATACTTTTCTATGGATTTTTAAAACTTTCATCAAACTCTGGCTATAGCAGGGATAAAGTAGAGTATAGGTGGTTGTTCTGAAATAGTTTGAAAAGTCGAAAAGTGGGTCAATTCATTTAAAACAGATTTTAAGCAGATTCTTGAGCTTCGTTCTGGAAAAGGATACTACCACAAGATTCGGTATAGTCGATAACCTATCAAAAATCATTGTAAACGGATCCTTGGGATCTTAAAAAATCCGTTGTCACGCCTAAACGATGAAAACTGTAAGGTTTGGTTTTGAAGAAGTCTCTTTGAACTATCTACGCATGAAAGAAATCGATGTATTTGCATCTCAACTTGGTAAGCTATTACTTATTTTTCCAAAGATCTTCTACAAAGCCTTCTTGAAAGACCGATTTTGAAAATTGATTTGTTGACGAAAATATGCCACCAAGTCGAATGAAGAAAACCGCAAATTCAAAAACTTTTCCTTGATCCCGTGTTTTGAAAAGATCAATCGAAAGGAGAAAAATATTATGATAGAAATATTATAAAAACTGATGAATAAGACAGTGACTTTTTTCTAATTTACATAAAACAAGACATTATTCTGTTTTTTCCTCTTCTTTACTCTTTACTTAAAATACTAAATTACATTAGAAAACAAATGAAATATAACTTTTGTAAAAGAAAAGAATATAATCACTGCATTAACAATATATAGTCTGTATAAATTTATTATTAACGCTTTCTCTTAGTTTCTCCTTAAGTATTTGTGAGAAAATTGTACAGTAACAAAAATTGTTATGATTAAATCATCAGGATTGAAGCCTTTTCCATAGAAAGGAAGAATGCATTTTTTTCGAATGCCTTTCACCTTTCGCTAACGATTGCGACATATACTGGTACGGAATCACTTGCATATTGATTTGTTGTACTGAGGCGGTGTGTGAGCTTAAGAGGCAAAATATGCCAAAAAAAGTCTTCTGCTGGAAACTTACTTGTGCAACTTTTACACTCAAAAATCGGGGAACGAAACTTTTAATCAAATGTACACAGAGAAGTTTCTATAAATGGTACATCACTCAACTTAGTACCTTATATTACATAATGTTTATTATGGTCATCAATGTTTTCAAAGGAGAAAGGAAATTTAAAAAAATTTACAAGACTTTTGTGTATTTTTAGTTGTTGCTTGCTACCCTTCTTTCGACAGATTCTGGAAACTGTGCATCCGATATATTTGGTCATTTAGAATGTTAAGTTCTTGCTTAAGATTCACACAAAAACTTTTGGAAGCTTATGAATGGATAAGAAGATGAAAGAAAAACAGTAATTTAATCTAATTTTCATGAAACAAGCCACTATTCTTTTTTCCTTTTCTCTACTCCTAACGCTGAATGAAAATATTAAATTATAGCATGAAAACGTTAAAACATTATTTCCGAAAAAGAAAGAAATATAAATTGCATCAATGGTGCATATTTTTTACAGACTTCTCATAAACACTCTGGCTCAGTTTTCTTTTAGTAACAATATCAGTTTGAAATTGTTGTGGCGTGCTGTTGTATATCAGAAAACGAAACTATGTAAGTAAATTTAATCAGTTGCACTAGAAAGTCAAATGATATCGCTCCATTGCTCTTTTGACATAAGTCCAAATTGTATAATGAGCTATGTTTTAAGCCAGTTAGTCAAGCCATTACTCGTCAGCCGACGACGACCATAAGAAATATCTTCGGTTTATTACCAGACGAACATATTGTGCGTGAATACTAACGTAAAGCACGTTGTGCATGTCAAGGCACCTACACTAATATATTGACAAATATGCGGTTGACGAAACGTTTTGAAGACCCTTCGTGTTGTGCGTGCGAACATACTATGCAATGATTTACTTGAAAGATGTTGAATACTTACGTGAATATAATTCACAACAAATAGAAGTATGGCTATTAATTGTGTTAATCATAACATGCTTATGGCCAATATACTTAGCAATAAGATGTTGTAAATGTTGTTTTCGTGAAAATGCTATTGAAACAAGAGGTGCATTTGGCTCGGAAGTATTCATATTTAGTCAAAAACAAATACCGGATGCATGTTTAACAATACCGAGTGTTGGAATTGATTATAAAACAAATCACTGATGACTTTAAACATACGTACAATCTTCATGCAGTGTTACAGAGACATATCATACAGTATAAGTATTCCTGAAATATCTTTTTTGGATATTCCTATTACCAGCAACAGTAAGTATTAGTGTTACTAGTAATAGGAATACTTTTTCTCAAGTAAGTACTCAGAAGAAGTACTCTAAAAACTACACTTTTCTTGAAGTGCACAGCAGCGGCTTGGCTGCACTTTATAAAAAGGAGTGCTTCGAAGAGGTTTTTTTTGAGGAGTATTCTAGACTACTCCAAAAACGAGTACTCTAGAGTGCTCTTAGTGACTTTTTTCAAAGGAGTGCTCCGAAAATGCAGTATACCTTCATACTCCTACTTCTAACCTTGTTTTTGACTGGGTAGTGTGAGTGATCTCATCAGTTCATTCTTATTGAATTAGTTTTCTGTATGAAACAGTTAAACAGACAATACAAATCATAAATAATGGACGAATGTAGGAGAATGAAATATTATTTCAACTTGTGGCCTCCAAAACCAAAAACCATTGAAATGCATCACAAAAAAGACCAGAAACTCCTCTTTACAAATTACGACAACTATTATTTCATACTTTTTGCTGCTGATCCCTTTCGATTTCTTAAATGAGCCATTGAAGATAATTTTAACTTATCTAAAGGTTCCGTATAGAAAGAATAGAAATTGGCTCCAGTCATTGAAAATTCATCAAATTTTGTTAACAAAAAGTCATTTTCATCAGTCGATCGTTCGAGATTTGACGTTTGTTTAAGAAGATTTTCAAGCGTAGGATAGTTATTATCAGACGATGACTCTTGAACTTGGCGATGAGAACGACGGCAAAAAGCACGACAACGATTATTAAACGGTTGAATTGCATGAATACTTTTGGCAAATATTGCTTGTAAACAAAATTTTATTAAATCAAGTGGAATAAACCAAATTATGTTCCATATCCATACAATGCCTGTAACAAAAGAAAATTTTATGTAGGCACTATCAAATGTTTCTGCTACTCTCGCCACTTCTGCCCGGACGCACCAAACCAGTGGGTGTGACTTACTAAACTACACGCGAACAGTGACCATTAGTATACTTGTGCGCAGGAAATTTTGGAATACGAGAGTGCAGAAAGAAGAGATTTAGTCAATAAGAGAACCATTTGTAAAAGTTTTAAAACAGTTTTGTTTGTCGGTATCATTTATCAAGTTGCGAAGTTATGTTCAAGGGGGCAGTCGATGAAATCGCAAAAAGCTTTTAACCTTGGTCGCCCTAAATTAATTCAATCTCTCAAAAGTTTCGTTTATTCTCGAGAAGACTTTCAGATTCAAATCATTAGTAAATTCTTAGCCGCTGAGAATCTGATATTCGGCTTGTCCACGTAACTCGAGATTTCGCTGATCAAGTTTTTTGAAAAATTATTTTAGAGTAGAACTGACAGGAGCATATCACTAGATGCAGTTTTTGACGCTGATTACGAATCTCACATTACTTTTTGGAAAAAGTTGAATTTTGGCACCCGAAATCCAGTTTTACATTTTTTGAAAACTGTATTTTCAATTTCCTCACCTAGACACTTTTCCTAATAAAAATCCAAGGCCACACTAATCGATGAAGAATTCGATTCTCTACAAGATGGTATGTTTCTTTTGAAGTTTAGACTCAAAACAAGCTTAAGTTTTAAGATTCTCACATAATTCTAAGAAGGTGAAAACATGTTTTCAGCTTTATTTTCACGTTAGTCTATATTAGATGCCTTAAACTAAGTCCGATGTGAAAATGAAATCCTTTGACCAATGTTTAGAGCTCCAAACTTTGTTGGGAAAAAAGTGTGTTACAGCGTCACGACGATAAAACACAATTATTGAGGGATGGAAAGCTCATTGGAAAGATTCATTTTTAGCAATCAGTGCTCGTTTATTCCTCTACAAACTTTGCTCGAGGCGCTTTTTATTAGCTCTTCTAAATTCGCATCAAATTAGCTTTTAATGAGAAGAACTTCGAATTTAGGGCTTTATTTTGTTACAGCTGTTACACTTTATGAGAAACGCTCTAATTACTGTGTCAAAAATGTCACAGCGTCACGCCTGAACAAGCCGTATTTACCTGCCCATGTCCAACCACAGCCTGTAATTCCAATTCGTTCATTAGAATTTACATAAACAGCAATAAATGTAGCAGCAGTTTGTGTTATAACGAAAGCACCAATTACTAACAAAGATGGCCGTTGACTAAAAAAGAAGCCCGGTGTTCGAGTAACAAATATCAGTGCTTGACTTATAGTTGAAACTTGTAAATAGATAATAGAGTTAAGTATCTGGCTGTTATAGCCGCCATTTTCGGGTAACTTGTCAAATGTTTCCACACCAAATGTGGTTTGAAAAAAATTTGTTTCGACAATCACAGCAAAAAAGACCAATGTTGACAGTGCCAAATAAATTCCGTAGACAATAGCATAGCTGAATATTTCAAACATATTCCAATGGTTTGGTTTTGCTGATGCAATAACACGATCTTTTGATATTGTCATGATTGTCCCGTCATTCAATATGGCTATAACCAAAACCATAAACGGAGGAAAGTCATATTTGAAAACGAATAAAAGTGTAGCAAAACCAACTAGAATTCGAATCGTAACAGCACACGTATAGACTGAATAGGTTTTCATACGTTGAAAAATTTGCCGTGAACCATTGATTGCATCAATAATAACACCCAGGCCCGGTTCAGTCAGAACAATAGCAGCTGCTGATCGTGCGGCGTCCGATGCACTAGCAACGGCAATACCTACATTAGATTTGGACAGTGCTGGTGCATCGTTAACACCATCACCTAAATTCAAACAAAAGATGCAGTATTTATTGTCACTAACAGAAGTGTGAGTTTTGACAACCAACTCAGTCGCGATGATCGATGTGAGGTTTTGTTTCTGTAGATGATGCTATAACCAACGACAAATACAAAAGAGTGTGACTCTATTTCTACTGTTCACTAGTGGAGAAATTTCTCAGTATGGACCTATATTCTTGGAGAAATGAAATTAGTTTCCAAGCTAACTTATTTTCCCGACAGTTTGTGTACAGTATAATGAGAGGTTTCCCATTCCACCTGGCTCCAGAGTAGCAAAAATATTCTTCTACTAACACTACACTTGTACAGGTGACGTAAATTGATATAAGCTGTATTCTGTCAGAATACAAGCGGAAAAATACTTCATTACAGTATTCTAAACTAAAACTCTCGAAACACAAAATCAATTTTTGTACGAATACAGATTCGAACACATGACCTTAACTTTGTAGAAACTGCAAGACTAAGTCCACTGTTCTGTATCTATATTCTGTACAACGATTGAAGTTGTGCAATCGATTCGATGTTATCAGTAGTAATTTTTTCTGGTGAGCGAAAAAAATATTTCATTACAGTATTCTAACCCACGACCTTGGGATTAAGAGTCTCATACTCTGCCGACTGAGAGTGGCGTCAGTTACCGTAAACATTCTCAGACCACGCTGCAGGTTTTCTAAAAACATTTAGTTTTTAGGTATTTCACTCAGCCCTAAGATATTTTCAAAAGAAAACAAGCTCATATTCAGAGCAGCCTGCAAAACTACATTGAATAACGTTAATCATATCGGTTTATAGATTTTTCTCACCATTTTTGAGCGAGGGCGCCATGAGCGGTTTTCGACCGAAAACATTTTTTTCTTCAAATAACTTTTTACTTATAATGATTCCAGAATGGTAGAAAGTGGTTTTTACTCAAGAAAATCACTTTTCCGACTGAAATAATCTTATGTCTATCTATTATCCATCCAAATGAACAGTGGTCTCGGTTGTTTTTGAATAACTTTTGGTAGAAAAACGATAGAAACCCGTGATTTACAGTTTTGGAAACTAGACACTTGACGTTACATTTCCACAAGCAAAATCAATATTTGAAAAGTGTTCTGAAGCCGATTTTACAGAGGAGCTTTGGGAAACCAGTTTGGACCTCTGAAAACTAATATAGAAATAGGTCAATTTTTTTTGATAGATATATAGTTCGGAGTGTCTTCTACAAAACTGCATCTAAGCGACATCTAGAAAATCCATGATTCGAGAGCTATGGGCATTTTTCCCAAAGCTTTAGCATTCCTCGGCTGTTAGGTTCATGATTGTAAGAAATTACTAAAACCATAGGTTATCGACTATGCTGAATCTGGTGGCAATGTTAGTTTTCAGAATAAAAATGCAAGAATCGAGTGAAAACATATATTAGGTGAAATAATCCATTTTGGATTATTTTCATGAAAAGTTAAACTCACGAGGGACGGTCCCCAGGTGTTTCCCTGGGATTTCAAAGCAATGTACCCCACTTTGCTAATTTAAAGATGCTGATTACGAATCTGAAAACCATTCGTGCTCTCGTTCAATCCTTCAAGAGTTATAAGCATTTTATTTTAATAGTACCGAAAAGTCCAATATTTTGAAAAAGTTATTCAAAAGGCAACCGATACTCCATTTGTTTTATGTTTCTTTTGAAAATGTTTAGAAAAATTTGCCATATATTACCACAAGATTTCATTCTGTTGCATCATGGCAGTCATGATGACAAGCAAGCTAAAACACATATCATTTTATAGCTAAGGTGTTTATCTGTAGAATGGCATATCTCTCAGCTCTATTGAACATTTCTATGGAAAGCTGTGATTTTCTCAAAATATAATACTTTTCGCTACTATTAAAATAAAATACTTATAACTCTTGAAGGATTGAACGAGAGCACGAATGGTTTTCAGATCGTAATCAGCATCCTTAAATTAGCAAAGTGGGGTACATTGCTTTGAAATTCCAGGGAAACACCTGGGAACCTTCCCTCCTCAGTCAAAATCCATCCAACCTACTTCAGAACAGGAAATACTATTTTATCCGCTCATTCTGATTCTGTACGTAAAATCATTAAAAAATATTCTCTTAGTTCCGAAGATTTCTGAGAAACTTTTCCAAAACCCGAATTATTTTCTGTTGGTTTTTACAACATTTGTTAAGCTGCAGATAAAATAGAGTATATCTTGACATTCTGAAGTAGGTTGGATGGATTTTGACTGAGTTTAATTCTGATGCAAATAATAAAATGGATTATATTACTGATCGTAAGAGAAAATTGTCCACATGGGCAAGCGCGACGTGTTCAGACAACATGTGCTATTTTTCCTTACCTGTCATTGCAACTAGATGTCCTAAGTCTTGAAGACGTTTTACAATATCATATTTATGCTCGGGCGTAACAGCAGCAAATCCGTCTGCTTGCAAAATAGCTTCATCTATGTCAGTGCTGTTCTTGGATGATTCTTCTTCTAATGTTGAATAAATTAGCATTGAATCACCTAAACCAATTCGACGGCCCGTTTCTTTTGCTATTTCTAATTGGTCACCAGTTATCATTGTGACTTTAACGCCTAAAATAAAGCGATAGCTGTCTTAGGTATCTTAGTTTCATCACTGATGTTAGATGACCAGAAGGGGTTAATATTATAAAAATCAGGATTTTTCATTACCTAAGTCTAAAGCTTGTCTTATTGTTTCAGCTGTATCTTCTCGTGGTGGATCCATAATAGGCAACAGACCAATCAATTTATAACTTGAACTTTGTTCGTCACTGCCACCATCTTTGGGAGCCGTGTCAATAGCAACAGCCAACGATCTTAATCCACGTTTGGCAAACTCATCAACGTCTGCTTTTAACTTCTTTTCTTGTTCATCTGTTTTATTTTGTGTACATAGGTTTAAAATTATATCAGCCGAACCTTTTGTAACACGATAAACTTGATTATCAGACAACTGACGGTATGTTATCTCGGTTCGTTTATTTTCCGGATCGAATGGAACGAAATTTAATATTTCAATTTGTTTACGAATTTCATCAGCGTTACCAAATGTCGTAGTTACACATTCATCTCTAAAATGTAAAGACTAACTAGATTTTTCAGAAAAGGAGATAACCTCAAGTATAAAGGCATTCGTTAAGACTCAAGCAATGAGTAAAAATTCTACATGTTACTTCGAAGGACCCTGACTGCTCCAGGCACGTGCTGTAGAAACGTAGAAAACAAGACAAACGGAACAAACACCAGGTCCAAAAATGAATGCCAATAAATGGCCATTTCATCTGGAGGCCAATGAATCAATGAATATTCTCGAAAGAGCAATTAAAGGGGTTTGAATGATCAGAAAACGATCGAATTACAGTAGCATCTACTGTCAATTTTTGGGCCACTATTTCCTCTCTAGGAAAACAGTTGAATATCACCTTAAAACGATCTGGAGAAAAGACAAAAAGATAGCTGATTAACGATCATTTTTTATCAGAAAAATGACGTATTAACGGTTCGTCGAAGAGATCATTTTTAATGCTAGAAGTGCATGGTGTTAAAGAGAGCACTAAACGACCAGAAAAAACTAAAAATGATCACCGTTTTATGACCATAAATGAATGAAAAAAAAATGGTCATTGAGCAAGGCCTTAAGATGAGGAAAAAATGAGATTAATAGTAAAAAGAACTGGCATTCAGCTGTTAATTAATTGGAGATTAATTGCCAGTTAACTTCATCTTCTGAGACATTTGACTTTTAGGTAAACAAAAGAAACCCTAGTCACTTTGTAGGCAGTTGCCTGATACTCACATTGGATCGGGATTTTCCAGATTACATGCGTAGGCAGCATATTGAATAATCTGATCGGCATTTACATCGTCGCCATATTGAATAATCGTCGGTTTATCGATAACCAGTTTATTCTCCGTTAATGTTCCCGTTTTATCTGAACACAGTATTGTAACACCAGCTAATTCTTCAATAGCCTCTATTCGTGTAACAATTGCTTTCTTCTCTGACAATTCTTTCGCACCGATTGCAAGTGTGACCGATAAAACTGTTGGCCTACAAACGAGCAAGTGTTTGAGCTTTTTTTGACGGTGGAGCAGCCGACTTGGAGTACCGTCATTAGATCATCCTGACAGAAGAGCACCTTGGCACTAGAGTACTCTATTTTCGCAGATATGCTTGAAAATCACTAAAACTCTAGCAGTTAGGGTACCTTCTTGTCGAGTGCTCTTCTGCCGTCAGCTCTACCATCGAGTCATGATTTTCCGCTACGTGTGGTAATTCTAAGATAAACCCAAGCAAAAAAATGAAGCTAGAATCGGGCGGTTGGAGCTAGATAACACGGTTTTCGACCGGTTAAGCTAGATCTACCTTACAAAGTTTAACCTAGGATCGGGCGGTTCAACCTACTTTTGGACGGTTGGGGAGGTTATCAGCTAGGTTAACCGCTCACTTAACCGACCGATCGGGCTAGCTCCAACCGCCCACTTAACCGACCGGTTAAGCTAGTTTCTGGTATCAAATAGATTAAACACAGGGAGGTTAACCGCCTACTTAACCGACCGATCGATCTAGCTCCCACCGGGCAATTAACCGACCGGTTCAGCTAGTTCCAGACATGAAATGCATTAGATACGGGGAAGTTATCAAGTAGATTAATCTACAGGTAAACCGGGCAGTTGGAGTGCCCAGTTAAGCGGGTAGCTTAATAAATAAGAAGAAGGAATATGTGCCTAAGGAGAATCGTAAGATGTAAACGTCTTTTCTTTCTATACATGGTAACGAGACAAAATGAGTAATGCTATTGCCTTTTCTTTCTTCATTCATGAATGTGAAAGTTTTATTTCATATGCTTTAAAAATGTGTCGATACATTTCACTCAGTATGTGAGTCATGATTTTGGCAGAAGAAGGTAATAGCAAAGACAGGCACTATACTCGATAACAGACTACTTGAGTTTGTGGCATCTTTTTTACATGTTCCTTTCACACTTTCACGAAAACGATTAACGCATAGAGAGACAGAAAAAAAAATAGATATATGACAT